GCTGTGAAAAAATTTAATATATATATATATATATACATATATATATATATTTGAACAAAAAAATAAAGATAAAATTTAAATTTTTTTAAAAATTATTAATTGATTATAAGGAGTTAGTTTCAACATTAATAAATAAATAACATTAAATGACGTATTAAATGATACGTGCAATAAATACACAAATAGTCAAAACGTGTTATGTTTAAACATGCGCCAGAAGGAACAGCCAATAATCAAAAGTGAGTCAAGCACACGTAACATTGTTAGTAATATTATATATATAGGAGAGATCTTCTTACTTCAGGAATAAATCTATATAAATTTACTTTGTTCAATAATTCATGTTTTATATCAAATTTCAACGATCCAACTGTTTAATTTAAAGTTCTTAATGCATAGATCAAATATGCAAATTTTTAGAAAATTTGAAAATCAGTTGATACTTCATTTCATTAATTTAAATCAATGTATAAAATGGTTTTATGATTTTATGATTGAACGGAGTAAGTCTACCTAAACTTACTTCGTTCAATAACTCATGATCTACATCAAATTTTAACGATCTAACAGTTCAATTTAAAGTTTTTAATGCATAAATTAAATTTGCAAATTTTTATAAAATTTGAAAATCATTTGATACTTTGTTTAATTGATTTTAATCAATGTATAAAATGATTTTATAATTATCCGTTAATTTGAATTAATGAAATGAAGTATCAAATGATTTTCAAATTTTCTAAAAATTTGTAGATTTGATCAATGCATTAAGAACTTGAAATTGAACGGTTAGATCGTTGAAATTTGATGTATAACATTAGTTATTGAACAGAGTAAGTCTAGGTAAACTTATTCTTGGAATAAAAGGATCCCTCCTCATATATATATATATATATATATATATATATATATATAGAGAGAGAGAGAGAGAGAGAGAGAGGAGGGATCTGTAAGTGTACTAAGATTATTTCATTTAATAACTCATGTTTTACATCAAATCTCAACAATTCAACGGATGAATTGAAAATTTTTAATGCATTGATTAAATATGCAAGTTTTTTAAAAAATTGAAAATCATTTAATACTACTTTTCAATTCAAATTAATGTATAAATTTTTTTATGATTATCCGTCAATTTAAATTAATAAAATGAAATATCAAATGATTTTCAAATTTTTTAGATTTAATGTAAAACATGAGTTATTGAACGAAATAAGTTTAGGTATATTTAGTCCTAGAGTTAACGAATCCCTCTTCATATATATCGATACAAAATATACATATTTATTTATAGATTAAATTATACTTGTGTTCCTTTATTCATTTGATCCTTTATTTTTTAAAGTTGGATCAATTTAATCATTTCAAAACAATAATATATATCTTTAATTTTACAATACAAATTTAAATCAATTTTGTAAAAATATATCACAATGAGCAACTAAAAAATATTATAAAATTATTTTTTTTTGTTACATTTTAGACTTATTTTCGTACAATTTTCACCATGTTAACACTTCTTATTTTGAACGTCATTCAAATTTGTTAGTTTTCATATAACTAAATCTAATGAGACAAGCTTCAATTCTTGAATTAGTCAAAAGAAAATCAAAAATCATGTCTCAAAATTAAAATAAACATCGTTTCAAAATCACTAAATAAATCCAAATTTTAAAAAATAAATGACTAAAATGAACATTTCAAAAAATACAAAATCAAAACTAATATAAAAAAATAAAATAAAAGACAAAAAAATATAATTTAATCTTTATTTATTCATACAACCATGAATTTATGTTTTCAATGGTGGAAGAACAAGCTACTAAATGGTTTGACCATGTATACATTTCTCTATATCGAAGGGAAGTGTGATGTTGCATGCTTTTGGAAGCTGTACGATTTTCTGAGGCTGTAAGTGCACATATGGTATAAGCTTCACAAAACAAGTACAAAGATTTTTGATAGCTTTAGGAGTGTTGGCTAATTGAAACCCTACCCTTGCTCCATCACAACAATAATCAGATGGAGTACTCATGGGGTCTCGGCTTATCAAATAACTACCACATTGGAAAGTTAATGGTTCATAGCCACTGCATTCTGACCTACCTTCAGATGCTGTCAATGTTGTCACTGCCAAACCATAAGCCATAACAAACATCACAAGACTCAAAACTTTCTTCTCTCCCATCTTATCTTCAATACTTGTATGCAATTTGTTTTCACTATATGAAATTTTGATCATCCATATGTTGCAGAGCTATTTATATAACTGTAAAATGTCACGTACTATGCATAATTAATTTTTTAATTAATAATAAAATAAATGATATTAAATGTGTTATCTAATATTTAATGTACTGCTTTTAATACATATATTATTTTTATGTAAGAGATAAAATACCATTTTTTCACCAACCAAAATAGATAAGTCTATTAAGTATATTAGTCATATATTTAAAATATATATAAAAGTCCATAACTATTTATAAAGAAAATTGGTTATTTTGGTGTCCACACAACTATTTATAAAGATAATTGGTTGTTTCGGTGTTCGCATTATTTTGTACTTTTTTTTACTGTTGACTAATATTTACAATCACTCTACTACTAAAGCTAATTGGACACTATTATTTTATTGTTTTTTAATTTTTGAAAAATTAACCAGGCACTGAATGCCTCATTTTTTTTTTCTAGTGATCTTTACTAATATAAATAAGATACTTCTATTTGGTTTTTACATTTTTTTAGACATGTATATCCTTTTATTTATATGTATTTATTTATTTATTATTACATCTCTTAGGAGTGAAATAAAAAAATGTATAAAAAATTAATTATCCACTATATTTATAAAAATTACACTTTTATTTTGTAACTATTTGTGGTTTGCAAATCTTTTAAGATTATTTTACTTTTTTTTTAATTATATATTATCTCACTTGATTTACTTTTTATAACTTCTATTATTTTATTTTTTATTATTTTTAAACAAAATACATAAAGATATGAAAATTTTGACTCTATTAATCTATACTAATAGATAAAGAAAATACTTCTTCCCGTAAATGTTTTTCGTCTCCATAATTGTAGATGATTACACCCTTAAAATAAATATGCTCAGACTATATATATATATATATAGGAGAATGCTAATATACTCTCACCTATTTTTTAGTGGGAGTATGTTAGCAACCTACACCAAAATTTTAAGACAAAAAAATCACTCATTTATTTTGATTTGGTTAATTCGTACAAAGGATATTATAGTAATTTAATTTAATTTTAAATGAAAATAAAATATTTTTTCTCATTAATTTCATTCTCCAATTCATTTATTTTTTCTATTAATTAATTTTTATTTGTTAGAGAGAGAGGGGGGAGATATCATGAGAGATGAGAGAGAAATGAGTTAAAAGAGAAATTTAATAGGAGAGAGATAAATAAGTTAGAGAAAGAATTTAATAGGAAAGAGAAATGAGTTGGAGAAGGAATTTAATAGGAGAGAGAAATGACTTAGAGAATGAAGTTAATAAGAGGGAAAATATTTTATTTTCATTTAAAATTAAATTAAATTACTATAATATTATCTATACAAATTAACCAAATTAAAAGAAATGAGTGATTTTTTTGTCCTAAAATTTTGGTGTAGGTTGCTAATATACTCCCACTAAAAAATAGGTGGGAGTATATTAGCATTCCCCATATATATATATATATATAT